TGGCCTCAGACTCTCATCTGTCCTCTTCCTCCACTCAGCTATATTTGGTAACTGAGCTCATGTTTCAGCAGACTGCCATGATCAGGAATTCCAGCAGCGGGCTGGGAAGCACCCCCAGGGCTGGGTTCTTAGAAATAAAGCCACTTAACATAGAAGGAACTATATTTATGGATCTGATAAATATAGGATTCAAACACGTTCTTCTATATTTTGGACTTGTAGCTGGAAATCACCACCTGCCCTGTTAACACGTTCTGAATCAATTTAAAGTATAGTATGTGACTCCAAGTAGAAAAAGTGACCCTCCAAATGGAAGCTCTGCTTACTGTGATCTTCTCTGTGCATTTAAATTTTGTTCAGCTGCTAGATGATCCTAAAACAGGAAATTCAGTAACTAAAAATTTAGCCACCTGTCAAATTGAGTGGAAAGTCCCATTGTTCTCTTATTTCATATTGCTAATGAAGAATTGATATCTGACTATGGTATGTATTGAAGACTTTGTCTATAATAGTATTAAATAAGCATAAACACACAGGGACTGGATCTTGTACACACTGCAACACTGAGTTCTTAGTTCAATGCCTAGGATATCATGAGCCTCCAGTAAATATTTGTTGAAGAAATAAATAAATGTTTAACGAATATCTGCAGGAAAAGTATCAACCCTTTACAGTTGCAAAAGTGTTTCACAATCATTTAATATTTTGATCTTTCAAATGACAAATAGAGATAGAAAGACTCTAGTATTTCGATATTTAAAATAAACAGAGGTAGCAAGAAGAGAAAGCTTTTCTGTTCAAAGTTCAGGTAATAAAGTCAAATAAAAGGGGGCAAAAAGAGCAACACAAAAGCTCCCAGTTAACTTGGAAATCGAGTGCTCTGTCTTCCTTTGTCTGGATAAGACCAACACGTTTGATTCAGTTTAATATCTAAAAATGTCTTTTTTTCAGATGGTAGAAAATTTGTGAAGGTCTGTTATTGTACTTTTCTTTATAGGCAAAAATGGTCCTTTATAAATGGTCCTTTCTGGAACTGGATACATCCTTGGGTCATTTCATCTATTATATTAATGAATAAGTGATTTTAAAATTTATACTTAGGATGGTAAAACAACTCTGGTTGATTGTCTTAGTTTGTGCCATTATAACAAAATGCCACAAACTGGATAATTTATGAAGAACAGAAATTGATTTCTCATCATTTTGGAGGCTGGGAAGTCTAACATCAAGGTGCCAGAGGTTTGTTGTCCGATGAAGTTCCCGTCTCTGTTTCCACTATGGTACCCTGAGCATTGTGTTTTCACATGGCAGATGGTAAAAGGGAAGAGGGGTCAAACTTCCTCCATCAAACACCGAGGGCATTGAATCCCACTCATGAGGAGTCCTCCTGAATCACCTTCTAAAGGTTACACCTCCCAACACTGTTGCATAGTGGATTAGGAATCAAAACCTTCAAACCATAGCATTGATTTAACTCATATTTATATCTACTTTTTCCTAAAGACATAAGATATTTTACTATTACAAGATAATAGCAAAAACTGAAAAGGGCAGAAATTGGGAGGGAAGAAAATAGAAGATATAAGAAATGAACAAAATTATTTTTCATTGTGAACTGAAAGGCAGTTTTCTAATTTATTTAGATGCATACTTATGCATCTAAATAAACCATATATTGGTTTATATGGGTGAGATTAGATGCATAAGTATGCATCTAAATAAATTAGAAAATTGCCTGCAGGAGGAAATGCAGAAAAGAAGCAAGTGATTCACCCCATGGAGTTTCAGAAAGGCTTGAGAACTGGAAGCACTGAAACCATCTTTAGAAATAATTTTAACTGGCAACTCTGATTTTTGCCTCTACCTTCTAGTGAACTGTGAGTCTCATGGTGAATTCCAGAGGCAATCATATTGGACTACTGACCAGATGAGGCCTCTTCCACATTTCTTTGGATTGCTTGATTCCTAAATCCTGGTATAACACCAGCAAAGTGATGAAGCCCTAAGAAGAAAAGAGAAAAATACAGGTTGTGGTCCTGAAAGAGGCTTCAAAGCTGTATAGGATTTTACTCAAAAAGACAGAGAAATGTGACTTTGTGTGTGTGTGTGTGTGTGTGTGTGTGTGTGTATTTTAAACAGTGCAGTAAACCCAGCTTGTTTTAAAAATCTTATAAGAATTTGAGAAACAAAAGTTCTTTTCCTTAGAAAATTTGCATCAGAAAAAAATTTAGAAAGTTTGACCAACACACTCATAAGTTAGTATAGCAAGGTCCAATTGAGGGTGAGATTAGTGTGTGGACAGTAATATCATTTCTCATGCACATTCTTATTTTCCGCCAGAGCCCATCTCTATGTAGACCAAGGTTGGGAAAGTGGGTCTGTGGCTCTTTTGTGGGGCTCCAGTTCAGCTTTCAGATGGTTATTTCTTATAGAAATTCCTGCTCTTTTGAAGTACTTACATTTGCATCAACCATCCTTCATTCCAGTTTTTAAAATTAAGACTTTGGATCTAGTTGGGCTCTTGGTTCTCTTCTTCAATCCACACCCTGCCATTAATCTAGGTGACTCAGCACCCATTTGTCTATTCTATACCTTGGCATATTGGTTTTAGACCTGCTTTTCTCAATGAATCTTCGTCTCCGTTCTTCTTCTTACAGATCACACAAACAGACCTCCTCCCTCTCCAAAATGAAGTATAACTTATCTACTGCTTCATAACAAATCACTGAAAAAATTAACATCTTAACACAATACATATTTGTTATTTCACACAGTTTCTATGTGTCGAGAATCCATGAGAGTCTTAGCTGGGTAATTCCAGAGCGGGCTATCATGAGACTGTATTGAAGATGTTGCCCCACCTTCTTTCACGTGGAAGCATGGCTGGGGCTGGAAGATCTGCTTCCAAGGCAGCTCACTCACGTGCCTGGAAAGTTAGTCCTATTATTGGCTGGAGATCTGTTGACTTCTCTGTGTCACTACCTGAATTTCGTCACTTCATGGCAGCTGGATTCTGCCATGATGCCTTTTTTTTTTTTTTTTTTTTTTTTGAGACAGAATTTGGTTCTTGTTGCTCAGGAGTGTAGTGGTGTGATCTTGGCTCACTGCAACTTCCACTTCTTGGGTTCATGTGATCCTCCTGCCTCAGCCTCCCAAGTAGCTAGGATTACAGGTTCCCACCACCATGCCCAGCTAATTTTTTGTATTTTTAGTAGAGACGGGGTTTCACCATGTTGACCAGGCTGATTTTAAACTCTGGACCTCAGGCGATCCACCCACCTCAGCCTCCCAAAGTGCTGGATTACAGGCGTGAGCAACTGTGCCCAGCCCCATACGTCTTTTATGATCTAGCTTTGGAGGTCATATTTCATCTTTTCTGCAGTATTCTTTGGTTTTGTACAAATGGGCAGTATCCACTGTGGGAGCAGACTGCACAGAGGCATGAGACCCAGTTGGCAAGAAAAGGCATTGGTGGTCATCTTGGCATTGTCTACCACACCTCTGTTCCATTTAACCCATCAGTCCCATAGCCACCCTGGGGCATGCTCTGTTTTCCAAAATTGCACATTCAAACATCTTGTTATTTCACCATAAACTTTCTTCCCCTAGCTCTTTCATGCATTGATTTTTCTTCACCAGACTTTCTAGGCTGTAGATCACTCTGTTTTGAGATTATCTATCAGTATGCTTCCCAGCTGCAGGTCAGTCAAGGATACTGGTTTACAAACTTTGTTTTAGGAGATAGAAACTCCCAGGCAGCCAATAGAGAAAGTAAAGATTTCAAAGCTTCCTCGAGGAAAGGGGTGTGCAAAGGAATGTTGCTGACTTGCTCATTCATCCCCCTTTGACGTTTTCTTTCTCTTAGGATCCAGGAAGTTTGAGAATCCAGAGTTTCAAGAAACAGGTCTACTTACCACCTTTTCATTTTTTTCCCTCTCTTTATTCCTGGTACAAACCATCAGCAAACAAAAATCATGGAGCATGTGAGCAATTGATAACTGAGAAGTCTAATCAAGAAACACACTAAAAACGGAGGCGAAACACTTGCAGAATTGTCTTCATGGTCCATCTGGTGATCCTGGGAACAAGTGTCTTTCAAGCCATGACCAGTCTTTCTACTTCTTCCTCATATTTTGTATCTGGCTTGCGTACATGTCACAGACTCAGGTATGGCCCCAAAGACTTGTCTGGTTAAACTGGTATGCCCATCTGTACATAGCAGTGAACTCCAGATCTGTCCCTCATGAGCTTGATTTTATGAACTGTGGTTAAATCTGCTGCATAAATGTAGCTTGAGCCTCTGGGTGGTCCTTTCATCACATGTTTTTGCTACTTGGGATGTTTGCTAACTAGTGCATGTGCACAAAAATGAAGAGAGAATCATAATCTTACTCTGATAGGTAATAGAAGTAGAATTGAAATAGTCTGAACACAAAATCTATGTTTATATATGAGTATTGGGGTATAGTTAGATATTATGATCTTTAGAAATAATCTCATTTTCTATCTGCCTTATAAGGGTCCAAACGTAGAAAAAAGTATATTAAGATCTTTAGAAATAATCTCATTTTCTATCTGCCTTATAAGGATCCAAACGTAGAGAAAAGTATTATTTAGAGTGAAAAAGCCAGTAACATTAATTTCAAAAGCAAATGTTGTTGAATTTAAGCAAATAAAATAAGACTTGGAAGTTACAAAGAATAACATCATTGTATCATTATATTATCCTTTATCATCATTATGTCATTATTCAGTAAAATAAAATTGAATAAAGAGAGATGATTGCACATTCGTGTTTTGAATAGTAAAATTAAATCTGAAAAAATACTAATAAATAAAAGCCAACAGTATATTAAAGGAATAATACACTTTGGACAATTGGGTTTTAGCCATGTCTTAAAAGTTGGCTTAACATCCAAATATCTAGCATTTAATTCCTCATATAACTCAAAAGAAAAAAGCCATATGATCAGCTCCATAGATTGTTAGTGAGTCTTCAGACAAAATTCAATGTCTAGTACCAATGAAAAAAGACCTTTGTGAGAAGTGAAGAGAATGGTTCTACTTTAATATTATATATTAAGGTATAGGTGCATCTGTGCCTGTGTATACATACACACATTTATCCATACACACATATGATATAATATAAAGATGTGAGATAAAACACCAAGGAATACTAACAACTAATATGCAGATTTTAATGTATACTAAAGAAGAGAAGGGAATGAAATAATGAAATAAATGGAATGCTATATCCTGTTCTTATATAGGAAGAAATGATTTTGTATTTCATCAAAATAATCTACAAATGTCATATAATCTCAGTTAAAATAACATTTTTGCCATGTACAGTGATTCACACTTGTAACTTTCGGAGGCTGACAAAGGAGAATTGCTTGAGGCCAGGAGTTCCAGACCAGCCTGGGCAATATAGTGAGGCCCTGTCTCTAGAAAAATTAAAAAATTAGCTAGGCCTGGTGGTGTGTTCCTGTAGTCTCAGCCACTTGGGAGGCTGAGGTGGGAGGATCACTTGAGCCCAGGAGTTGAAGGCTGCAGTGAGCCATGATTGTCCCACTGTACACCCCATTCTTGGTGACAGAGCAAAGTCTTGTTTCTAAAAAATAAAACAAAGATAAAAAATAAATAAATAGTATTGTTTGCTGGACCTAGAAAAACTGACACAAAGGTTTTCCTAGACAAATCAGCATGGTGAAGTATCCAGGAAGTTTCTGTGAAAAGGAATACTAAGGGCAGAGGAGGAGCCCTTCAAGGCTATTGGATACTAACAAACTTCTTAGGGCCAGACAAGGAATGGAGGAATGGATGAAATAAAATGACACATTTTATTCTTGTATGGAAAGAACATTATTTTGAATTGGCAGCATTTATTAAATAACTACATACATTTTGATTTATTTCTTGGCCCTGTTCATTTGCACTGACTTACCCCTCATTACTAAAAAACTGGATTCCTGTTTCACTTCATTCAGCAAATTGAAGTTCTTTTGGCTCACACGAATTGGAAAAAAAATCACAGTGGAAGGGATAAATATGTATGTAGTCATAGAAATATATTCAAGATAGATTTAGGATAAAAAAAAGTATACACAAGAGTGTGTTAGAGCAACATATTTGTACGTATAATTATATCTTTTTATAATTTCTCTCTTTCTCCTGATATATGAAAATATTTTAAAGCTTTCCTTGAAGACAACAAGTTAATTGTGGAGAGAAAATGCATTCTGACTGGGATGTGAATAGGATTGTATGGGAGACTTGACTCCAACGTAAATGCTGTATTGTTATTTTAAAAATGGCATCAGAGGGGAAAAATGGCATCAGAGATTGTGTTGACTGTTAGTTTCTTACTGTTTATGCTTTTCCCTATCAATAATTATAATTTTTAAAATGTGCTTTCTAAGGTACTAAAATAAGAAGTGATATAGAGATAAGATATGCCAAATACAGCAGTAAGTGAAACAAACACATTGTATACTAATTATTATATCTAGAAGGTAAGATTAAAGGAAACTTTCATTTTTTTTGGATGTAAAATTTGCATGTGTTTGCATTATATTTAATCATCAAAAAATTTGCTGGGCTCAGTGGTACATGTCAGTAGCTCCAGCTGCTTGGGAGAATGAGGTAGGAGGAACCCCTGAGCCCAGGACTTTGAGGCCAGCCTGGGTAACATAGTAAGACCCCATAAATCCAGTCATGAGCCTAAAGTCCATTTAATTTAAAAAAAACCGTTTTTAATTGTTTAATCCACTAGGGAGTAAAATGTTTTGAAGTCTTTGCATATAAAATAGAAAATAATCAATTAAAGAATTCAGTATGTTTCTATTTGGAGAATAAAGACACTTTACTAATTTTAAATATCTTAAACCAGATTTCCTGTACTGTGGATCAGCTCTTGTGTGCTGATTTGCAAATCAGACCCATAAGCAAGTGAACCATATTCTGCACATACTATATGAACATTCATCTTCATCTGGCTACCTTTAAAATGTCATAACCTTTGATCCACTCTATCTCTGATCTGCTTCAAGGACACAATCCTCGCTACAGTAAACACTTCATGTAAAAACACGTTTAATTCCATATTACTTCTAAAAGCAAAAAATGGAAGCAACCTAAATGTGAAACTTACGGAATTGCTTAATAAACTCATGGAATTGTAAAGTAGCCGTAAAATAGGATTTTTTCTGATGTGTTTATATTAACGAAGGAAAAACACTGATTATATTATGCTAAGGGAAACTGGAAGAAAATAAATAGTCTTTGAAGTCTGAATTTAACTTAAAAAAACTTACGACTCTGCATGGCTGAAAGTTTTAATGCTTTAAATTGAGTTGCTTTGACATTTTACAACCCATTAAGACATCACTAAACTGTATAGGGCAATTTTTCTCCCTCCACTAGAAAGAAAAGGCAAATCCACCAAGATAATTGGTTATTTAGAAAGGCTTTGACATTTATTTGATCTCAATCAAACTGAACAATATTTGGTGTCTCTTAACATTGGCATTTTATATGCCTCATGGAGATACTTAGTGATATTCAACAACCTTGCAAATGGAGTGGATGCTGCCAGACAGCTACGAACAGCTGTAGAACAATTTCAGAAGCTGCTTACCCAAGAAGTCTAATGGAGAAGGTCATGGCTGTCCTTGCCTGTGAAGCAAACAGGAAAGAATATGACAAAGGAGGAAATCAGCTGTTGAACCAAAGAATTTAAACACTGAAAAAATGCCAACAATTGAAGACAGTTGCTCTGTCACAGATAATCCCAAGGACTGTCTATACTCTACTTTTGTCAGCCTAACAATTTGCTCAGCTATTGCTATTTTGGGAAGGAATTTCCACCAAGCTGGCATATCTTCAGCCCCTGAGGTTTCCTCTGATGAACTGATCAGCAGGTGTTGAAAAAGCCTGTTGCAGAAATATCACAGACCCAGTGTGCTCATTTGACTTCTGTAACTGTGACTGTAGTTTCATCTGAATATATTGTTTCTTAAATAGAAAGGCTTTCTGCAGGGAAACATCAAAACAGATTATTTATGACATTTTTAGGTAACTACTTTTCCAAAGAGACAGCGCCTGCATTTGTTAATATGCTTTATTTTTATGAGTTATAAACCGAATACTGTACTAATGATTATACAACTGAAACCTAAATTAATATAACACAGAATAAACTTTTCAAATAAATGTTGGCATTATAAGCCTAAAAACGCAGTCAGGCCTCCATATCCATGGACTTCGCATTTGGTTATTCAACCAATGGTGGATCAAATATATTTTTTAAATGGAATCATACAATGAAACATAATACAACAATGAAACCTAAGACAAATAAAAACAATACAGTATAACACTATAAAGCATTTACGTTGTAGGTGTTATAAGGAATCTAGAGATGATTTAAAGTATATGGGAAGTTACGCATAGATTATATAAAACACTACACCGTTTTTTGTAAGAAACTTGAGCATCTGTAGAATTTGGTGTCTGCAGGGGGTCCTGAAACCAATCCCCCGTGGATACCAAGGAACCACTGTAATCGTGTTTTTCTAAGAGATAAAGGGAAATTGAGTGGGATTAAGGCTAAGTTATCCAAGTGCACCTGATTCCTGACAAGACCAGTCTGAATGATGAGCAGGACTTTGAATTACTTTGACAGAAGTAATTTTGAGGGAATAACATGTAATATAATTTGAAATAAAGGTATAGTTAACCTTAAAAAGAACATTATAACTGAATATTGTGAATGGGGTGAATTTGTTAAATGAATAACTTTGATAAAGTTTTCATGCACAGGCAAAATGTATTCACGAGATTTCTACGTAGTGATCTGCTTTTACTTTGAAATTTGTAGTTCTCAAAAGACTTAAAAAAATAAAGTCCATACTTAACACTTAAAAAAAAAATATATATATAAATATAAAGTGCCCACTCAATCATCAGTGATGTGAGCACCCCAGAGCCAGGAGTTTCCATAGAAGTGTTCACCTAACTTCCTTACCCTCAGTGAGTTGTGAGAGGACCTCTCCTGAACCCACAAAGCAAGTACAATCAAGGTCCACCTTCCCATTCATGGACTTTCCCCTCTTCATTGCCTCACACAATGTCATAGCTGGAAGAGTTGACCTTGTCTGACCTCCCAAGAGAAGATGTCTTATCCAGGGTCACAAAGCTACCAAGTTTCAGCTGAGTTGAGAAGCAGTTGGCCCTATTCTTTGACTCTCTGGGCTACCCCAGCCTGGGGAAGTGCTATCAGTGTGAGGCCCATGGTCCCTGAAAGCATCACAGAAATAGGAGAAGATGGGGAGAGAGCTTCTCCCCTCCTAGTGAAAGACAGGAATAATCATTAACTTTGCTTAGTTAATGATCCCAATAAACAAGTGTAGCAGATGAGTGAGAAGAGAAGGAAAGAGAATTGGACTTGGGATCCAGGAGCTGAGATGACCTTAGGGACACTCTTCTGCCTCAGGCCACCCTGAGGAATTGGGAGCTTCTAACTGGGCTGGATGGGCAGATATTACTCACTGGTGCTTGTTCCTGGCATGAAAAGGTGACTGAGGGAAGTGGGGAGATTTTTTTTTATTGCATTTTAGGTTTTGGGGTACATGTGAAGAACATGCAAGATTGTTGCATAGGTACACACATGGCAGTGTGCTTTGCTGCCTTCCTCCCCATCACCTATATCTGGCACTTCTCAAGTGGGGAGATTTTTAATCAGGCAACCACCATGGGGGTGGACAGTAAGTAATAAGCAAAGAAATGCAGGTCAGTAGCAAAAAGGGAGAAGCCACGTCCTTTGAGCTTTTCTGAGAAACCCAAGTGGTATGCAGCTAGAGAGATGTGGCTGGGGATGACAGTGGGTCAGAAACTTGGCAGGAGGACACTGATCAGATCAAGTAGAAAGCCATGGAGGGGAAGGATGAGGACCTCAGTGATTCCTCTGAAGAAAAACAAAGTAGCTTTTTGGGAGTAGATTAATTCAGTTCAAGGGAGTGAGCATGGGCAGAAGTTATGAGTACAGAGAGGTGGCGTTTTGCAATATGAATCAAGAGCCTGCTGAATCATGGAGGGGTGAGGACGTTGGTGATAGGACAGACTGCTCCCAGGGCAGATGGGCTGGAATGTAATCAGTGCCCCACAGAAAGGACCAAGGTCTACTGTCCCAGCAACCCGAGTTCACAAGGCTGTAGGATTGAGTCTCAAAAACCCGAGAGATCAACTGCAGGGCATACCCTGCTCCCTGGCCTGCTCTAGTCCCTGTCCCCATCAAGGTCACCTCGGATGGGAGTGCTAGGGTTTACCTGCCATCTGTCTAAAGAACTGACTCTGAGGCAATTTGTTAAACACACTTAGGCCATTAAACTTCTCCCCATACACCAACATAAATTCAGGTGCTAAATGTAAAAAACAAAACAAAAAATAACCATAATAAAAGACATGCAAAGCTTTTTTTGTTCTATGGTGGTGAAGGAGTTTTCTACCCATAAAGGCAAACAAAGAAAATATAAAGGCATAGTGCGATAAATCTGATGACCTCTAAAAGGTCCTAACTGTAAAACTAAAACAAAATCCTCTTTTAAAATGAAGAAATGGCAAGTGAAAAAAATGAAAGGAAACCTTGGCAAGCTGAGGCCTTGCAATTCAATAAGAAAATGAGCAGTATATTTAAAATTTATAAAACAATAAATATATGAAATAACATACAGTCAACACTCTGTATCTAAGGTTTCTACATCCGTGGATTCAACTAAATATGGATCAAAAATATTCAGAAAAAAATCATCTGTATTAAACATGGACACTTTTTCTTGTTATTCTCTAAACAATACAGTATAACAACTGTTTACATAGCATTTACATTGTGTTAGGTATTATAAGTAATCTAGAGATGATTGAAAAGTTATATGCAAATATGCCATTTCATAAGGGATGCGAGTATCTGTGGATTTTAGTATCCATGGGGCTCCTGGCACTAGTTCCCCATGGATACCTAGGAATAACTACATATTACATTAAGTTGACTTAATTTTGTCTCAAAAACTGTCAAAAAAGCAATTAGGACATTAGCAGAAGTTATGAGTAAAGAGAGGCGGCATTGTGCAATGTGAGTCAAGAGCCCGCTGAGTCATGGGCTGAGGGCTGAGGACGTTGGTGATAGGGCAGACCGCCCCCAGGACAGAAGGGCTGGAATGTAATCGGTGCCCCACAGAAAGGACCAAGGTCTACTGTCCCAGCAACCCAAGTTCACACCTAAAAGCAAGGTAGGATCAAGCCTTCAAAACCCTTGCATCTCAATATATTCCGCACATGCATAACGTCATGAAATTAAGTGTCTGGAGCACTAAAGGCCATGATCGGCTGGGGTTGAAACTCGAATTCCAAACATGAATGAGCTTGATGACAAAACTACAGAGCATTCTTCTTCTCCATTTAAATTCTTTGTATGATTGGGCTTTCAAATGTTCACACTGGACACTTACACTATTGGACATTTTTCATAACATGAACGTCTCAGGACCAAAACGCAAAGCCTGTATCCTCTTCAACTCCATTTTTGCACGTCCAGTACCTTGCCAAAAAGGAAACCCTGCACACCTCACCCCAGGCTTTCAGAGCGCTCAGCGTGCTGCGTTTAACCTCAGCCCCTTCGGTTCCTCGTGTGGAGTCCAGATCTCTCTGCTTTCCTTCCTTTACGTTTACAGGCCTGTCCCAGATGGCGCAATGCCGCCTCCGCTCTGATATCCCTGAGATCCTCAGAGTAAATCAACGCACTGGGGCCCTTGCCTACCCAAGACCTAGGTTCTGCCTCCAAAACACCGGGGATATAGAAACCGAAAAGGCCTCACAGTGGAGAAACGAAAGCGAAACTCACGCCCTAGCCAGGAGCTCGCGCGCTGGTCTGGATATAAAGTCCGGCGCCACTTCCGTGGCTTAGAGCCTCAGTACCCGCCAGGCCGCGCAGTCCCTCAGCCAGGCGCTGCGCTCCGGCCTGCCTCGCCTCTTCCCGCCCGACGCGCGGCGCTCACGCTCCTGGGACACCGCGGGTCCGGGGTCGGGTGAGGACTGCGGGTGACGCGGGGTGTCTCCCGAAAGCTTGGAGTGGGGTCGTCCCGCGGAGGTTCTGGGTTTCCTTCGGCATACAGATGGGCCGGGGTCGGAGGGGGCCCAAGGGCTTCGCGTGTGCGGGGAGGTGGGGCGCCCTCCGGGCTCTTTGTTTCTACAAAGAAAGAAACAAGTCTCTGTCTATAGTTCCTCTCTTTCTCTCCATGCATCCATGCATCCATCCATCCATCCATCAGTCCGTCCATTCTTCCATTCATCATCTGTCCATCTCTAGATCTATACACTTTAAAAGATATTTTGGCTGTCCCACTGGTGTGCTTTGCTCACTTCATGATCAATTTGTACCTTTCAGTCTCATTTAGTAATTGCTGTATGATATCCCATGGTATGCTGGGCCATAACTGATCAGTTTTATTTGAATTAGAAGAGAAAGACATAAAACAAAAATTAAATGTCCTTCTCTAGTATGTTCCCCTTCATACTCAGTCTCACAGTTTTAGTCCTCCTGAGGCGTTACTCCATAAGTATACTCATAAATTTCTTTCTCAGTTGCTTATAAATTATATGCTTAGGGTTACTTTTTGTTTTACCAACTTTTGATAGACTCCAGCAACTCCCTGTGAAAGAAACATCTATGCTACCCCACTTTGCCTTCCCATATGAGTTCTATATTTTTTAAAATTCTTCCCATGATTAGCTTTATGACTTTTGATAAAATACCCGTGTTAATTTCATCCTTGACTATATTGATATGGGTGGAAATCTCCGCAGTTTTCACTGCTGCAGCCTCATTTTCTGCTCTGTAGGTATGGAGATCTGCTGGTCTTCATAAAAATGGTTATATCAGTAAAACAAACAGCAGGTTATAAAAAAGGGTCTTTTTAAAATATAAAAAGGGTTATTTATGTAACCCTTTTTATAACCTGCTGTTTGTTTTACTGATGTAACCATTTTAAGGCAACTCATAGTTTATTTGGAAATATATTTTTCTAAAAAATGTACCCAGCTTCTGATGCTCTAGTTAGTTCCCTATGTCATTAATTACACCCAGAGAGTTTCTATTTTCATCCTTCATTCCCTCTCAAATTAGTGGAATCTGTCTTAAGTTCATTTAAAATGATAGTCGGGCTTGAGAAGGGCACATCTCCATGTAATACTTCCGGCAAGGCTAAGTCCTTTTGTTTAACCGAGAATTCTTTATGAGTCTATGTTGAGCAAGTTATTTTTTTTTTCCCCAGTCTTGTCGCTTTTATTTGCAGTACAGAAGCTGTCACCTGTGTGACCCAAATTTCTTGGCTCCCTTCCTTCTCCTCCCTCCCTCCTCTCTCTTTCTCTTTCCTTCCTTCCTTCCTTCCTTCCTTCCTTCCTTCCTTCCTTCCTTCCCTCCCTCCCTCCCTCCCTCCCTCCCTCCCTCCCTTCCTTCCTTCCTTCCTCTCTTTCCTTCCTTCTTTTCTCTCTCTTTCTCTTATATCTTTTCTTTCTTGGACGGGGTCTCACTTTGTTGCCAGGCTGGTCTCAAACTCCTGGCCTCAAGCGATCTTCCCACATCAGCTTCCCAAAGGGCTGGGATTATAGGTGTGAGCCTCTGTGTCTAGCCAATTCTCTTCCTTCTGGCTCTGCTTATTTCTTTTTCCCTTTCTTCTTCAGTCATAGCTCCTCAAAAACAGCAACTAAAACACCATACACTGACCTTCAACCTTTTCCAATCACTTTTCTGGGAGTATCAGGCTTGTTGGCACATGCTTGGCTTCCTAGTTTTGAAGGGGATGATTTCTACCAGATATTTTGCTCTGCATCACTTTGGTTTCCAGCTTTTAAGCCCAAGAAGCCTAGTTTCATACTGACTGTTGTTATCTGTCCAGTAGGTTGGAGCTACATACCATGTTTGCTTGATTTTATAATCCACGTCTTCTCTTTTTACACCTAAGATGAGGATGAAAATTACAAATCTGTGGTGTGTTATAGCTTAATTGGTAGTATTAAGAAAATTAATGGTACACAAAGTGATGGTGCATCTTGCAATTCATGGCTTTTTAGATTAAAAGAATGATAGAACTGTACAACTATGTAAAGATAGGAAGGATTTCACTTCTGTATTAATTTCTGTACCAGTAAGGGAATGCTAACTTCTGTAGCAATTACATCTTCTAAATTTCAATGGCATTACACAATAGAAATTTATATATTGTCCTAAGAGTTCAAAGCAGATGTTCCTGGCCAGTGGGCCGATAGTGATTCAGGGACCCAGTTTCTTCCATATGGTAGTTCCACTATTCCCTGGATTCTTAATATTCTTTGCACCTAACTTTTCAGAAGAGTAGTAAGAATAGAGAAAGTATACCTACTTCTCAAAAGTCTGTCTATCACTTCCACTCATATTTCACTGGTAAGAACTAATTTCATGGTTACCTCCAGTTGTAAAAGAATGGGGAAAATCTAGTCATTGGCCAGATAGCTACTTCTTAGTGATTATTCTTACATGTGGAAGGAGGAGCATGAATTTTAGTGGATAGTTCAATGACTCTGATCTGATACATATGATTTTCTTTTCAATTTTTTTAACTTTAGTCAGAATCCAAAAGAAAGTTTTCACAGTGCAATTGGTAAATAAATACCTTGTTTCTTAATCTATAGAATTTCTTTCTCTTTCTGTCTTTCCTCATCTCTGACTCTGTCTCCACTCACGATTCTCTATTAGTTCTTATAATTAGAGGCATGAACAATTTTTTCTTAATTTTTTATATTTTTGTTAAGAGTTCACATAGATGGTGTCATATGCCATTCAGAGACAGAGAATGTCTTACCATCTCTATTTTTATGATGTTAGTATCCATTGATATTCAATGTCTGGATCCATTAATTCATTAGATGTTTCAAAATGAGGAAAATATAAATTGCTCATCACTTTTATTTTTTGAACTGGGTGACATCTATAAACACAAACTTCTCATATAATATTTGCTTAATCAGAGTTATACTTTGTATTGACAAGGGGATTTTTTTCATTGCAAAACATGTTCTTTTAAAAAACTTTTATTATTTAAAACTTTATTTTTTGATTTATCTTCTCTCTCAGTTTGCTAACGCTGCCATAACAAAATACTATAGACTGGTGGCATATATAATTTCTCACTATTCTGGGGGGAAGTACAAGATCAAGATTCTGGCTGATTCAGTTTCTGGTGAGGGCTCTGGCTTGTACATGCCTACCCTCTTGCTGTGTCCTGTATCCTCACATGAGAGAGAGAGAGAGAGAGAGAGAGAGAGAGATTATGAGGTCTTAGATATTTCTTCTTCTTCTTCTTCCTCCTCCTCCTCCTTCTTCCTCTTCCTCTTCCTCTTCGTCATCCTCCTCCCCTTCTACCTCTTCTTATTTTCTTCTTCTTCTTCTTGATGGAGTTTTCACTCTTGTTGCCCAGGCTGGAGTGTAGTGGAGCAATCCTCACCACAACCTCCACCTCCTGGGTTCAAGCGATTCTTTTGCCTCAGCTTCCTGAGTAGCTGGGATTACAGGCATGCACCACCACGCCCAGCTAATTTTTGTATTTTTAGTTGAGGTGGGGTTTCTCCATGTTGGTCAGGCTGGTCTCAAACTCCTGACCTCAGGTGATTCACTCACCTCGGCCTCCCAAATTGCTGGGATTACAGACTCGGCCTCTGATGTTTTTTCTTAAGAAGACACCAATCTTATCAGATAAGGGCCCTATCTTTATGGCCTCCTGTAATCCTGATTATCTCCCAAAGCCTGCTTCTCCAATTATCATCACAGTGGGGTTTAGGGCTTTAAAATATGAATTTTAGGGGGGACATAAATATTCAGTATATAGCATTATCTTTGGATGATATTTCTAGACTCCATATATGTGTTTTTTTAATGATAGTAATAGCATTCCTACTCTTTTCCTACCAACTTTCCCTCTTAGTACTTCTCAAATTGGTTAGCTATTTTAATATATTATCAATGTTCAAAGTATTTACATTTTGGTTCTCTGAATAAATTAAGTATATCTATTAGTCTAAAAATTGAACAACAAAAACCATAACATAACTATATACATAGTATTCATTATGGAATCAAGTTTTGTGATTAAATCCAAATAGGAAAAGCATCCTATGTCATTAAAACTTGATTACAGTACACTTTTCAAAGCATTAAAGAGGGTGAAAGTCATTGGTCATGTGTCAGAGCATTCAGTGTTGATCATAATGTTATAAGAGCTGACTTTAATCAGTTTTCACTATGTCCAGGTATTCTTTTTTTTTTTATAGGAAAAGGAATTTTTATTTTAACCTTTAAAATTGCCTCTAATCATGGATGCTGTAAACAGATGACAGGTAATTATCTGATTTATTTTTATTTTTTTTATTTTTTATTGCATTTTAGGTTTTGGGGTACATGTGCAGAGCATGCAATAGCAGTGTATGTGTTAATGCATTTTATCTTGACAACCCTAGGATAATAATATTATTCTAAATTTGCAGACAGGGAACAGAAACAGAGATGGTAAACAATTTGCCTCAGGCCACACAACTAGTTAGTTGTACAATTAGGAATTCAACCCAGATATCCAGGTTTCAGAGCTCATGTCCTTATTGACTTTAATGCCTCTTTCGTTTTCATTCTTTTGTGGCTAAAATATCTTTTGTCAGATTTTAGATTTTCTTTTTATCTTTGGAGCACTGAAATTTTATCAGGTTGTATCTAGCTGTGGCTTTCTCTTTTTTTTTTTTTTTTATCAAACTTGTTTTGTTTTTGGAGAACCTTTTTAATCTACGCATATTTTTCTTTAGCCCTGAGCCAGTCTTCTTAAATTACATCTTCTCATTTTATGTTTTTGATTATTTTTATCATCCATTCTGGTATCCCAGTTATTTCCTCCAGGATTTCCTTTTAATGGATTCTATAAGCTTTGATCAATCTTTCATGTGTATTAATGTTTCTCTTATTTTTATCTCATTGTGTTTCTGGACTCTGTCTTTTAACTTGGGATTCTGTGTTATTGTTCAGCAAACTAATTTATTTTATATCTGCAATCTTGCTTTTTTATTGCATTTTAGGTTTTGGGGTACCTGTGAAGAACATGTAAGATTGTTGCATAGGTACACACATGGCACTGTGGTTTGCTGCTTTCCTCCCCATCACCTATATCTGGCATTTCTCCCCATGTTATCCCCTCCAACTCCCACACCCCCGCTATCCCTCCCCTGTTCCCCCTGGACAGACCCCAGTGTGTGATGCTCCTCTCCCTGTGTCCATGTGTTCTCATTGTTCAGCACCCGCCTGTGAGTGAGAACATGTGGTGTTTGATTTTCTGTTCTTGTGTCAGTTTGCTGAGAATGATGGTTTCCAGGTTCATCTGTGTCCCTACAAAGGACACGAACTCATCGTTTTTCTATGGCTGCATAGAATTTTATGGTGTATATGTGCCACATTTTCCCTGTCCAGTCTGTCATCGATGGGCATTTGGGTGGGTTCCAGGTCCTAGCTATTGTAAACAGTGCTGCAGTGTACATATGTGTGCATGTGTCCTTATAATAGAATGATTTATAATCCTTTGGGTATATACCCAGTAATGGGATTGCTGGGTCAAATGGGATTTCTATTTCTAGGTCCTTGAGGAATTGCCACACTGTCTTCCACAATGGTTGAACTAATTTACATTCCCACCAACAGTGTAAAATGTTCCTATTTCTCCACATCCTCTCCAGCATCTGTTGTCTCTGCATTTTATAATGATTGCCATTCTAACTTGCATGAGATGATATCTCAATGTAGTTTTGATCTGAATTTTCAAGAGTGCTTTCTTGTTCCTGTGTTTTTTTCTTTTCCACAGCAGCATGCAAGCTCTTATTTCGTAGATTCAATATCTTTGATTCTCTATGAAAATTCTAGTTGGAATTTTTAAAAGTTCTCTTCTGCTTTTTTAAGAATATTTTGATTTTTTAGTTTGTTTATTTCTTTGTCTTTATTTTTGGTGTTTATTTTCTGTCTGATCAGTATTTTATATCTGATGATCCTTACTTTTATATGGATATTATAAATTTTAAAAATTACAGTGCTTACTAAAAAACTGATTGAGGTTTTTCTAACCTGTCTCTCTTTTAAATGGGAGGGGAGTCTTTGAATGACCACTCCACTCACTTCTTCCAGGCTCATCTAAAATGTCACTTTCTTGGAGATATTGTCTGTAGCAATCCTGTCCAATTCATTAAAACTCTTTTATTTTTTAAATAATACTTAACTTTTACATATTTAAACTTTTATTGATTTTTTTTCTACTAGATAATAAGTTCCTAGAGTGCAACAAAGCCTACTTTTGTCCTTTTCAGTGTACTCCCATGCCCAGTTGCAGATGTTTGTTCATTCAGTAGTTGAATAAATGCATTCTGCTTTCTGTCCCTTCAGTTTCACAGAGACTGTACTTACTTTGGCTATAAATGCTTTTCTACTTACCAATCCTGTGGCAACAATGAATTCTAACTGTATTTTGCTGCTGTTCTTTATGGTTGGTATGAAGACGTGAGTTCTCCCAGAATTGGCTCCCAAAACAGGGATTTGAGTGCAAATAGTTCATTTTGGTGTTACAGAATATCCAGGAGACTGGAGAGACCAATGGGTGAAACGAGAGGATTTTATTAAGGTGACCACCAGCCCAGCAGATTAGCATCCCAAGGCTGAGCCCCGGAGAAAGAAAATGGGATATTTCTATACATCCAGGATGACATAGCAGCTAACAGGTTTACAGAAGTCAGAACAAAGAACAGTTAATTAATTTGCAACATGTCTTGTGACGTATATTACATTCGAAAAATAGCATTTTGAGAAACTCATTGTAGATTTTTTGGGTGTTATCTTACCCTGTGACCTTGTAGCTGGTTAGCAAGGAAAACAGGGGTCTTGAGATGCCTGGGAACTTTGCTGAGAATGTGGGAAGAATAGATAAGGTAGGTTTTACAGGGAGGGAGTTAATTTTAAGCAGCGCTGGGGGTTAGGTTTTGTATTAAACAGCATACAACACAGCAAAATGTATTTTTTATATAGCAACTACAAATCAAAAGGTTTTGTTTTTACTATTACTGCTATTATTTAATTCCCTTCTTCATTGGGAGTAATCAGGAGTGGCCAGAAACTTACTTTGGGAGTGACCCAGAGTTACTAATCAGCAGTCTTCAGTGATTTCTTCTACCTGTGATATATATTAATTTGGTCAGTTATCTTTAGTAATCAAGTGACTTAGTATTTCTATTTCTAGCCCAGAAACCTGGCCACCTTTCAGCATGCTTTGTCCAAGCCCCATCATCCATCCTCTTGTCCTTGCTAGGATCCGAGGTGTCATCCATGACACCCCCACCTCTCTCTTCCCATGTGGAATCTATTGTCAAACTATGTCACATTTATCTTCACAATGTCCCCCCGATAAATCCACGTCTCTCCAGGTCTGAATAGCACCACATTAGCTCAAACCACCATCGTCTTTCTGCAGGACTATTTCAGTAGCTTTCTCTATGCACTTCCCCATTCAATCTCTTGTCTGTACTAAAGATAGAGTAATGTTTACCAAATGCAAGTGTGATCAAATTACAACCAGTTTAAAACCCATCAGTGACTGAATTGTGCTCTGAAGGTAAAGACGAAGCACCTTAAAATTCCTTAAAAGACTGCATAGCTTCCTTTTTCTCTATCCTTAGCTGACCTTTTTTGGTATCCTTATCTGACCTTGTTTATCCTTTTCTCTAACCTTATCTGAAACAACCCTACCCTCTGTTGCAGCCACACTAATGTCTTTTCTGAATCCGGTACTTAGCATACTGTCCCCTGTCACAGGACCTTTGCACATGCTGTTCCCTTTGCCAAGAATACTTTGTGTAGCTTTTTTGAGAGGCAAATTGACTATAAGGGAGTATTCATTCCTTCAGATCTCAGCCTATGCATTCATTCTTTAGGGAAGCCACACCCATATCTGTGCCTTTTGTCTCATTTGTGATTTGAAATTCTTTGTATGATTATTTGATGAATCTTTGCTTTTTTACTAGACTGCTTGCTCTGTGGAAATTATAACGATATTTTTTGGGTACATTTTATTTGTTTTAGGAATAAGTACAGTTCTAATTTTTTTTCTTTTATTGCAGGGGTGCCATTCACATAAAATATAGGCATTTTAGAGGTGCCAAAATAAAATATATCAGCCATATTTAATAAATTCCAGTTCTACTCTCTTCTACCCTGTAGCCCAAGAAGCAGCAACAATGGGTAATTCTCAATCTTTGATATTAGCAGTCTATAAAACAACAATCTTGTGAGATATTCACATTCAGTAATATTACAAAGTAATTGGATATCCATATTTCCTTTTCTTAATAATTACTAAATTATATAGTCATGTAAATATATTGATGGTTCAAAATCTTTTTTTTTTTAGGGTTACAGGATCATGCAGTATTTTTCAGGAAAATGACAAAGTTAATTTTGTATGAAATGCCAAAAGCTGGGTAAGTATTGTGAATTAAAAAAGAAAGAGCTACACTATTATATGCTCTGTGTATCCACATACCTCTTAACCCATATACACATACATGATCACTCAACTATTTATCTTGGAGCAGCTTGGAGATGATGGGAATGCACTCATCTTCCTAGAGTTGTCATAGCTCTCAGTGAACAGATTATTTCCTAAAGCAATCAGATTTATGGAGCTGGGGGTTATATATGCCCTCATCCAGAATAACAGCCTTTAGAATCATATTCTCAAGTTCAAATCCTGGCTCTCTATTTAGCATTGGATAAATTCCTTTGCCTCTCTGAGCCTAATTTTCTTTTAATAAAATAGTAATTATGCTATCTCCTTCTTATAAAGGACAGTTGCATAAATGAGGTATTTGAAAAGACATTGTAGACTGACATGAGGCATGCAACAAATAGCAGCTTATGCAATAATAATAACAGCAACAAAGTCTCTGTAGAAATCATCTGTGATTTTTATTCTATTTTATTTTAGGTATTCCAGCATATTAAATGATTTCGTGGAATCTAATTTTTTTGTGATTGATGGAGACTCCTTGCTTGTCACATGCCTATGTGTAAAATCATTCAAGTGGGGACAGAATCTCCACTTCTTCTATCTGGTTGAATGCTATCTTGTGGATCTTATGAGTAATGGAGGACAATTTTCTATAGTTTTCTTCAAGGTAATATATGATGATTGATGTCTTTTTAATCCTTTCATAACTATAACTGAAATCTCTTAACCTAAAGAGTATTTTACTTAAAAATGAAGCATGTCATCATGGAAAATATAAAAAGGCAGATTAACAAAAGAAAATATTACCCATGATTTCACTACTCAGAGATAGCCATTCTTTATTTTTTATTTATTAAGTTTTTTTCCTCTCAACTGTATGTTTGCACATTCACAATATAGACCAGGTGCAAGGTCTGGGCTGAGGTGTATATAGGTAGGTTTACTCTAGTTCCCTTTCTATATAGTCAGTGTAATAATTCAGTATGTGGTAAGCACCAGGAAGCCCATTCTTTGGTTTTCAATATTTTATTATAAAAATTTCAAATATAGGTAAGTTGAAAGGTTGTGTAGCAAATATCTATATCTCCACCATCTAAATCATACAATTGCATTTTATTATATCTGTAAACTTATCCATGCCTTTGAATAACTCCTTTTATTTTGGGGCTACATTTCAAAGTAGTTGTAGACATTACATTTTACTCTTAAACATTACAGCATACATGCCATTAACCAGAGTTTGGTACTTATCTGCAAGTGTTTTTTTTTTTTTTGGCTGTAAAATTTGCATGAAGTGAAATGCACAGATCTTAAGTGTTTTACAAAAAGTTTTGCATTAACCTAATGCCATTTAATGAGCTTTCAAATGTGCATAGCATTTACCAGTACATTGAGTTTTGACAAAGGCATGCGCGTGTAACCCAAACTCTTGTTCCACAGGACGTCTTCTCATATCCCTACCAAGTTCATCCTCACTGCATCCCTCAGAAGCAACCACTGTTTAAATCCTTTCTATTGCACTTAGATTTACCTATTGTAGAACTTTCTTTATTTTATTTTTTTTGAGATGGAGTTTTGCTCTTGTTGCCCAAGCTGGAGTGCAGTGGCACAATCTTTGCTCACCACAACCTCTGCCTCCTGGGTTCAAGTGATTCTCCTGTCTTAGCCTCCTGAGTAGCTGGGATTACAGGTGAATGCCACCACAGCTGGCTAATTTTGTATTTTTAGTAGAGATGGGGTTTCATCATATTGGTCAGGCTGGTCTCAAACTCCTGACCTCAGGTGATCTGCCTGCCTCGGCCTCTCAAAGTTCTAGAACTTTTAATAAGTAGAATTTTACAGTATGAACCTTCTTTCATTCAACATAATGTTTTTGAGAGGCATTCATTTTGTTGTGTGTATCAGTATTTTGTTCCTCTTATCAATTTTGAGTAACGTTTTTATTGTAGAAATGTACCATGGTTTGTTTACCCATTTTCCTGTTGAGTGAACACTGAGCTCTTTCAGTATCTTGCCTAGATGAATAAAGGTACTATGTGCAATTACGTGCAAGTCTTTGTGTGGATGTAAGTTTTCATTTTCCTTGTGCATATATCTATGATTGGAATATATATTTTATAAAACTGTCAAAACTTTTCCTAAGGTCGTTGTGCCCTTTTATATTCACTCCAGCAATGAATAAGAGTTTCTGTGCCCTATGTAGTTGCAAACATTTGTATTTGGTCAGTCCAGCCATTCTAGTGGATGTGTAGTGTGATGTTCCTGTGTTTCAGTTGGTATTTATCAAATGGCTAATGATGTTGCCTACTTTTTCAAGTGCTTATTGTTCATCTGTATACTGTCACTTGTGAAGCATCTTCTCATATCTTTTGACTGGTTTATATTGAATTCTTTATCTTTTTAATGTTGAGTTGCAGTAGTTTTGATATATTCTGTTTACAACATGTGGTCATATACATTATTTCAAATATATTTTCTCAGTCTGTGATGTGCCACTTCATTTTCTTAATGCTAGCTTTGGATGAGCAGATATTTTAGTTTTGATGAAGTCTAATTTATTATTCTTTAATGGTTATTGTGCCTATATCCTGATAAGAATCATTGCCTGTCTCTTAGTCATAAAAATAGTCCCCTATATTTATTAATAATTCTAGAAGCATGTAGCTTCAGCTTTTACATCAGTCTATGATATGTCTTGAATTAATTTTTGTGTCTGTGTGGTGTGAATTAGGAATTGAGGTTCATTTGTTACAGCATCCATTGTTGAGAACGTTTTTCTTCTACCAGTAGATTGCTTTGGTTTCTTCATCAAAAATCAAATGATTGTAAATGTGTGGGTCTATTTCTGGGTTTTCTACTATGTTCCATCAAAGGATTTAACAAATTACTAGTACCACAATGTCCTAATTTGTGTAATTTTATAGTAAATCTTGAAATTCATTTGTTCTTCTTTAACTTTCACTATCCTAGGTTCTCTGCGTTTTCACACAAATTTTAGAATGAGTTTACCAATTTCGATTTAAAAAGAACAATGGGATTATAATTGATAGTCATTAAATTTGTAGAACAATATAGTCTTTCAGTTAGTGAACACAATATATAACTGTTTTTTTTTAAGATCTCCAGTTTCTCTTATCAATTTTGTATTCTTCGTTGTGGAGATGTTGCACATCTTTTGCTAAATATATTTCAAGATATTTCATGTTTTGATCTTATCATAAATTGAACTTTAAAAAATAATTTTGTATTTTTTGCTCTTTGTATGTAGAAGTAGAATTGGTTTTTGTTAACTGGTATCCTGCAATCTTATCAAAGCAACTTATTAATTTTAGTTGCTGATTTGTGTATTTCTTAGATTTTTCAAAATATTTAGTGAATAAATACATGCTTACTTCTTATTTTTCAGTTTTTAAAAATTTATTTTTCTTGCCGTATTACAGTGACTGGCACCTCTAGTAAATGTTGAAGTAGAGTGAATGGCATCTTTACCTGGTATTTGATCTTAAAGGGAAAGTGTCCATTATTTCCCTGCTAGGTATCATCTTAGTTGTAGTTATATATACCCATTATCAAATTGAGGAAATTTCTTCTTATTTTAAGTTTTCTGAGAATTTCTATAATTAACAAGTGTTACATTTTAAAAAATGCTTTTCCTACATGTGTTGAAATTCTGATACAGTGTTCCTCTTTTATTTTCTTAATTTGGTAGATTATATTAAGAGATTGTTAAATATTAATTCAATTCAATCTTTTATTCCTGGGAAAGCCTCAATTGATCATGATAGATATACTTTCTTTAATATATTGCTGAGTTTGATTTCCCAATATTTGAAGGTTTTTTTGGTATATAGTCATGAAAAATATTAATCTGTAGTTTTATTTATTTATTTATTTGAGATGGAGTCTCACTCTGTCACCCAGGCTGGAGTGCAATGGCTTGCTGTTGGCTCACTGCAACCTCTGCCTCCCAGGTGTAAGCAATCCTCCTGTTTCAGCCTCCTGTGTAGCTGGGATTACAGGCATGCATTACCATGCCTGGCTGATGATTTTGTATTTTTAGTAGGGACAGTGTTTCCCTGTATTGGCTAGGCTGGTCTGGAGCTCTTGACTTAAGGAATCTGCCAGCCTTAGCCTCCCAGAATGCTGGGATTACAGGTGTGAGCCACCATACCCAGCCAGTTTTATTTTTTTTTATAGTGTCTTTGTCTGGTTTTGGTATTAGGATCATGCTGACTTAGTGAATGTGTTGAAAAGCCCATTTTCCTCTTCTGTTTTCTGAAAATGTTTTTGTAAGATTGGTATTATTTCCTCAGACAAATCTGATAAAATTTTCCTGTGAAAGCATTTGGGTCTGGAGTTTTTCTTGGAAGAAAATTTTTGATAACAAAGTCAATTTCTTTAATAAATATAGGGCCATTTAGACTTTTTGTTTTATCTTGTGTCAGTGTTGTTAATTGTGTATGTCAAGGAATTTGCCAATCTTATCTAAGTTATCTAATGTTTTGGCATAAAGTTGCATATTACATTCTCTTATTTTCTTCTTATTGCTTAAAGATTTGTAGTGATGTTAGTGTTAGTTAGGCCCCTCTTTTATTTTTATTTTAACAGAAACTAAATTTTCTTTTTTTAAAATTCAAGACAGGGACTCACTCTAACTCCCAAATTGGAATGCAGTAGCATGATTTTGGCACACTGCAACTCTGTGTCCTGTGCTCAAGTGATCCTCTGCCTCAGCCTCCTGAGTAGCTGGGACTACAGGCATGAACATGGTTGGCTTATTTTTGTATTTTTTTGTAAAGATGGGGTTTTGCTGTGTTGCACAGGCTAGTCTCCAACTCCTGAACTTAAGCAATCCACCTACCTGGGCCTCCCAAAGTTCTGGGATTACAGGCATGAGCCACACTGTGCCTAACTACTAATGATTTATTTTTTCATTTTTTCCCCCAAATTATGCAGTTTTACAGTGAATGACACAGAAGGAAACTAAAATTACCAACAGTTTATATGTAAACTTGGTTCCTGTCTTAAGGAAAAGAAGAACAGAACAAAACCAACATGTTAGAACATGTTTTGTTAGAACAAAAACAGAAACCCTCTAAAAACTTTCATATTGCAGTTCCATTTTGTCAACTGGGAGCTGTCTGTGTCCCTTAAATCTTTGGTTATTTGCTGCTTTCTGTGTAACAGGATGCAAAGCACACAGACTGTAACTATAGCTTACCAAAAAGGGATACATGGACCATATATACCCATCACCCAGATACTCTAAACCAGTTTTGAAACATAAACTGCAGAAATCCTGACTAAAACAGCAAAAGAAGACTTTTTTTTGGCCAGCTGCTAGTGACAACCAATGAGGCAATGACAGGAGGGTACTCATCAGAAACATGACACTAACTCGTCAAAGCAACTGCTCTACTTGAAATTCACATCTGGTAAAATGGGAATAGATTTTTATTTTTCTATTTCCAAATGATAAGTATCATTACATAATTTTACAAATTAAAATGTCATTTGTCATTATTTTATCTCTGATTCTATAACCTGATATAATGCTAAGGGAAACTAAGGAGTTAACTTTTTAAACATGTATGAAAGTCATATCTGCTGTATGTGACACAGCTTCACGGATTCCCTACTGTGATAATTTCCATTTTATTCTGCCCTCATTTATCCTTTATATTGTTGTGTCTTCTTTCTTCTTGATTAATCTAGTTAGTGATTTATCAATTTTGTTGATGTTTTCAAACACCTAGCTTTTTCATTTTGTTAATTTTCTGTATTGTCTTTTTTTCTTATTAATTTCACTGATTTTTACTCTTGTCTTTATTTGTTTCTCTTGGATTTTTCTTACTCTTTTTTCCACAAGCTTCTTAAATTGAAATCTTAAGCCAAGCTCTTTCTTCTTTTCTATTTATGAATTGTAAAAATTTTCTTGTAAGCCATGTTTTAGCTACATATCACAAATTTGCATTTTTTAAACCATTTAATTAGAAATAATTTCTGACATCTCTTGTGATTCTTTTTTCTTTGACCAGTGGATTATTTAGAAGTTTGTTGTTTTAAAAGCTGGAGGTATTACATGATAGATTTCAAAGTATCCAACAAAGCTTTAGTAACCCAAACAGCATAGTACTGGCATAAAAATGGACATTTGTACCAATGGAACAGAATGGAGAACCCAGAAGTAAATTCACATATTTACAGCCAAATGATTTTTGACTAAAACATCAAGAATGTTCAATGGAAAGGACAATGTATTCAGTAAATGGTACTCAGAAAATTGGATATTCACATGCAGAAAAATGAAACCAAATCCTCATTTGCACTATATAAAAAGTCAATTCAAAATGGATTAAGGACTTAAATGTAGGACCCAAAACTATGAAAGTATTAGAAGAAAACATAGGGGGAATGCTTTAGGACATTGGTTAGTGCAAAGATCTTATGAAGACCTCAGAAGCACAGGTAGCAAAAGCAAAAATAGACAAATGGGATTATATCAAACTAAAAGTTTCTGCATAGCAAAGGAAATAATCAACAGAGTAAAGAGACACCTTCAGAATGGGAAAAATGTTTGCCACTATTTATTCTACAAGGAATTAATATCCAGGATAAGCAGGGAACTCAAACATCTCAACAGCAAAAGTAAAAAAAAAGATAATACAATTAAAATGTGGGCAAGTGACCTGAATAGACATCTCTCAATAGAAGACATACCAATGGCCAACACATATATGAAAGCATAGTCAGCACTATTAATCATCAGAGAAATGCAAATCCAAACCATAATAAGATAGCATCTTACCCCATTAGAGTAGCTATTGTCAGAAAGACAAAAAAAATGCTAGTAAGTATGTAAAGAAAGGGCAACTCATTTGCTGCTGGTACGAATGTGAATTAACTCAGTAATATGGAAAACAGTATGGAGGTTCCTCAAAAAATGAAAACCAGAATTACTATGTGAACCATCAGTCCCACTACTAGGTATATATTCAAAAGATAGGAAATCATTATGTTAAAGAGATATCTGCCTTCTTGTGTTTATTACAACACTATACACATAGCCAATACATGGAAACAAACCAAGTGTTCATCAACAGATGAATAGATAAAGAAAATGTGGTGTACACATACACAGTATAATACTATTTGGCTATAAAAAAATAAAATTCTGTCATTTGTGGCAACATGGATGACCTTGGAGGACATTATTACACTATAGGGTGGCTATAATTAACAGTAATTTATTGCATTTTTTCAAATAGCTAGAATAGCAGATTTGACGTGTTTTTCAACACACACACACACAAACACACAAATTCTATCTGATGTGATCAATACACTAATTACTCTGATTTGATCATTACACATTATATACATGTATATCAAAATATCACCCTGTACTCCATAAAGATGGGCAATTAGTCCAGGTGAACTGGCTCACACATGTAATAAGAACACTTTGAGAGGCTGAGGATCACTTGAAGCCAAGAATTTAAGACCAGCCTGAATAACAGAGTGAGATCCTGTTTCTACAATTATAATGTCACTTATGGATAATTTCAAAAATTAAAAAAGTGTTGTTTTAATGTATAAATGCTTGTTTTTTTCTATTTGTGTTATCATTGATTTCTAATTTAATTCCATTGTGGTTCTAATTTAATTCCAATTTCAGTTATTTAAACATCTGTTAGGATTTGTTTTGATGCCCAATATATGGCCTATTTTGGTGAATGTACCCTGTGTTCTTGGAAATAATATAGAGTCTACAGTTATTTGAATATAATCTTTTAGAAATGTCATTAAATCAGAGTAGTTGATAGCTAAAATTAATTTTTATCTGCAAAAATAGATACTTATTTTAAGGACACAAAGGAGCATGAGGTAGGAGGCAAACTTCTCTCAGCAATCTTTTTTTGCTCCCTGAATTTTTATCCTTAAATTCTAGGAAGCACTTTAGGATCAAAACTGAGAAGAAATAGTATTTACCTTCCAGTAGAATGGCAAATTCAATAGAGGCACTGTCTTTATTTGGATTGATCTATATAAATGTCCTCAACAGTGTATTATAGTATGTTTTTTAAAAATTACAGATTGAATGGCTTCAAATTTTAACAAATCTCAACCCAAATACAAAAGTATATTATGAGCCCATTCCCTTATCCTACTCCTAGAAGCAATTGTTGTTTTACTGCTAAGAATTCTAGTCTATATTTGTTCAATCTTTTTACATAGGATTTTTTTTTGCGGGTGGGGGTTAGTTTTGGCATGATTAAAAGTAAAAGCAGTCTTTTTATAGATGCATATAGAAAAGTCAGCATTCTTCTTAAATATTGACAGTCTAATAGACTAGATTTTCAATATCATTTAAAAACTGATTTTTTTTATCTTTTATTTTAAGTTCAGGGGTACATGTGCAGGTTTGTTATATAGGTAAGCTTGTGTTATGGAGGTCTGTTGTACAGATTATTTCTTCACCTAAATATTAAGCCTAGTTCCCATTACTTATTTTTTCTGATCCTCTCCCTCCTCCTACCCTCCACCATCCACCCTTGTGCAGGCCCCAGTGTCTGTTGTTCCCCTCTCTGTGTCCATATGTTCTCATTATTTAGCTCCTACATGTCAGTGAGAGCATGCGGTTTTTTTGGATTCTGTTTCTGCATTTGTTTGCTAAGGATAATAGGCTTCAGCTCCATCCATGTATCTGCAAAGGACATGATCGCCTTCTTTTTTATGGATGCATAGTATTCCATGATGTATATATACCAATTTTCTTTGTCCAGTCTATCAATTGACGATTTAGTTTGATTTCATGTCTTTGCTATTGTGAATAGTGCTGCAGTGAACATGCATGTGTCTTTATGATGAAACAGTAATGAGACTGCTCAGTTGAATGGTAGATCTGTCAGGAATTGCCACATTTTTCCACAATGGTTGAACTAATTTAAACTCCCACCAATAGTGTTAAGCATTCCGTTTTCTCTGCAACCTCCTCAGCATCTGTTATTTTTTGCTTTTTAATAATAGCCATTCTGACTGGCATGAGATGGTTTATCATTGTGGTTTTGATTTGCATTTCTCTAATGATTGGGGATGTTGAGCTTTTTTTAACATGCTTATTGGTGGCATGTATTTCTTCTTTTGAAAAGTGTCTGTTCATGTCGTTTGCCCACTTTTTAATGGGGTTGTTTTTTTCTTGTAAATTTGAAAAATTGGAATTTTGATTTGCTAAGAAAAGATTTACATTGTTTAAGGAGGAGATGCATCACCTGGAACATATCTGCTAATAGTGATCCACATCAGCTTCTCAATGCAGAGGAAATATATCTATCCACTTGCTACTTTGATCCCTATTTAAACAGAGAGAGTCAAAGCATTAGAAGTGAAGTAGTAATGTATGCCTGCTCAAATAAAGGAGAGGAGTCTATATAATCTACATTTTGACTTGTGGCATACAATTGTGAAATGAGTCAAGTTTAAGGCCCTTGAGAAAAGCAACTTGATCACATGGGTTGGATTCTGTATGGCTTTGTGCTGTAAGTAACAGAATTGACAAATTACTAAAGGAAGGTTTTAAAATGACATATGTTTTCTTTCTCACCACAGGATGCTGAATGTGCATATTTTGATTTTCCTGAAATTCTTTCATTGAGAACTGCTTTAATTCTCCACCTTCAACACAACACTAACATTGATGTGCAAACGGAGTTTTCTGGATGCTTATCACAAGATTGGAAGTTATTCTTGGAACAGCATTACCCATATTTTCTGATAGTTTCAGAGGAAGGCCTGAGTGATTTACAAACGTACCTTTTTAACTTCTTAATCATACATTCATGGGGAATGAAAGTCAATGTTGTGCTTTCTTCAGGGCACGAATCTGATACTCTCAGACTTTATGCACATATCATGGAAAGCACAGAGAGAAACCAAACTTTTTTGGAGAAGGTAATTGACATTAATAACTCTCATTTTTTTGTCCTGATTTTTAATTTTCATTCTCAAAATCTTTAACTCAGTATTCTTTCTGTCTTCTTAGTGGAACCTATGATAGGCAGTCTCAGAAGAGGTAATAAATTTAATACTGGTAACGATGATGATAAACATTCATTGAGCACTATGCCCATTCCTTTTCCTGAATTTCTCTTAGTTTTCAGGGTACTCCTCTAAGGTTTGTGGCCTTATTATCTCTATCTATTCACATCTAATTATGGTATTATCACCTCATCTATAAAAGAATACTTGGAGTATTGAAGTAATTTGCTCATGTTAAGTACCTAATTGTGGTATAATAAGAAATATATTTGCACTCTATCCCTAGTTGCTGTCACAGAGCTCCTAAAACCCTTGGAATTTCTTGAGTAATAATAATATCTTTTGTTATTTGTAAGGAGCTGCTTTTGATCACATCTGAATTTTTCCTAATGAGGTGACCTAGGGTGGGGGCCCTAAATAGCCTCAGCATTGGGCTGGTCACCAAAAGGACCAAGCCATCAGAGGCTGGAAATTTTAGTCCCAACCACCAACCTCTGGGAAGGGGAGCAAGAGGGGCTAGATATTAAGCTCTATAAAAACTCTTGAACAGTGAGGTTTGTTGAACTCCCAGGTTGGGAAGGCCTGGGAGGGACGGGACACCCAGGGAGTTACTGCCCTTCTCCCCATACCTTGCCTTGTGCATCTGTTCCATCTGGCTGTTCCACAATTGTATCCTTCATGATAAACTGGTAATAGTAAGCAAACAAGTTTTCCTGAGTTCTGTGAGCTATGTTAGCAAATTACCAGCTGTGAGGAGGGAACCCCAGATTTGTAGCTGGTCCATCAGGATGTGAAGCCTAGCATTTGTGCTTCACGTCTGAAGTGGGAGGCAGTCTGGTTGGACTGAGTCCTTACCCTGTGGGGCCTGTGTTAACTCACGGTGGTTAGCATCAGAATGGAATTCCACTGTATGGCACCCAGAGGTGTCTGAAGAGAATTAGAGAATTATTGGTGTGGAAAATTCAGACTTTTTTTTTTGTTAGAGTGTTATAAGTAGAGAAGTGATTTTCCTTTATTAATAAAAGATTGACAGTGGATTTCAACAAAGTGATTTTCCTTTATTAATAAAAGGTTGACAGTGGATTTCAACAAAGGAGTGTGTCTTTAGCTTCCGTATATTTAGCCATAGGGTGTCCTGCTGCCTAGATAATGGAAAGCAAGAAATGCATTTAACTGGAAATCCATGCGTTTAGAGGTTCATGTGTTGCATGTAGGCAGTGAAATGATAGCTAACATGGACGAAGGATCCTTAATGAGAAAGACATGAATATTGACAAAGGAAGAAGTAATGAGATAATTTCATTCCTTAACATAAACTCATGAAGTCTGTAGAATTTTCAAAGCATTTTAGAATTTCAATTTTATGATAGGTTCATTATTTTGGTATATCTGGCATTAGGTGTTAGAAACAGAATGCTTGTTCCCAGGTATTGCAAGGAAAAATTAGCTTTCAGAAAAAATGTTTTCTCAGCAAGGCAATTTTACTTTCTGCAGAAAGGGTGCTCGTTTTAGCCATCTTGCCTCGAGAGTACAATGAACAAAGGAAAGGCAGACATATTTATTCCTTATGCGTTGGGTCCTTACTGCAGTGTCTGATCTCTATTGGTTGGGGCCAGATATCACAATCTAAACTGAACCCAATTGGCTAACAACTTAAAACTTTTCTATATAGTACAGGCAAAGGAGAAAAAGGGAAAGGAGGAAGTCCAAATAAGGAAGGGGCATAGGCTGTGAGCTGGGACATGCCTGTGAGCACGTGCAGCACAGATATCTTGGTTAAAGTACAAGGACATAGAATGTACTTATTCCCTTGTGTCTAACAGCTACGTAGGATAGGGCTTAACAAGGAGTTGTTAGCAAAAAGCAAGAAGGCTATGAAGAAATTTAGTTTTTTTTTGTCAGTAGAAAGTCATTTAATATTTATATGTAGATATAGGAGATACAGGATTACAAAAATAATTTTTATCTATAATATAACACTGCAGTCATTAGAAAGTCATTTAATGTTTACTTGTAGATATAGGAGATAATTATCTATAATATAACAATATAGTCAGTAGAAAGTCATTTAATGTTTTCATGTAGATGTAGGAGATACTTATATATACAGGATTGTGAAAATAATTTTTGTTTTTAACAGTATAGTCAGTAGAAAGTCATTTAATGTTTACATATAGATATAAGGGATACTTACACTCAGAAGTCATATAAGCTCCAACTATTAGGAAAAACAGAGAGAAAGAATAAAACATAGTCATTTTAAAGACTGAGATTTAAGAAGGCCAGATGAAATGCTCTGATCCTATGATGAGGGAAGAAGATTCTGAAGACTGAGTTTTATTCTGGCAAGTTTTGACTTTCTAACCACAAGTGCTCTAGAGGTAAGATTTTTCTCACACCTAAGTGTAAATGTGTGTATCAGTTTGAGGACTTCAAGTTGTGTGCTTTTAGCACTTTTTTGGGAGAGGTATTTGCACCATAACGAACTCATATCTGGAAATACGATCTCTGATATCTGTATCAGAGTATTTATGGTATAAATGAAATTTATACTACATATGTAACATTTATAAATTAAAAATATCCATGCCATAAGAATGTAATGAAGTTGCATACAGAGTTCAAAGGTGTGCGTTGCTCTAAAGCAATGCTTACTATTTTTTTCTGGCACAAAATGGTGCCTATCATATTTTATTCTCCTCTCTTTTTCATTTGGGCATTGATTTATGAGGAAGGGAGACATAGACCTTGCACAGATCATGGTTACTTCACAATGTGGCTTAGCTAAAGCCTGAGCATCATCCAGAGAAAACCATATGTTTTGCAGCAAACATCCCTACTCATGCCTTTTCTCTATGTTTGCTCAAATTTGGTTAAATTTTAGTTACATTTTTGTGAGATTTCATAATGTTATTAAAGGTGAACATTGGCACAAATATTTGATTTGGAGTCTCTCTTTTACTCATTTTTAATTGAAAATGACCATGTGTTTTTCCAGGGCCTTAATAATGATGTCTTTTAAAAGTAAAGGACTGCATTTTGTCATTATCCCCAGAAAAGATAACAGTGCATTGCCAGGCCTTCAATACCAAGGGTATTAGACTCAAGATTCTGTAAGATTCTGTTTGTGCCAGGCACTGATCAGCAGTATAAATATAAAATGAATACAAATGCCAATAACTTTCTAGAAACACTCATCAAAATTTGCATTAAATCAACAGATCTTTCTTTTAAGATGTATGAATTCTAACTTCCATTTGCTTTAGAAAGGATAATTAAAATCCAGAGCTATTATGCTCAGCAGGTTTCAGGAGACCCCTATCAAATTGTTTTCTTTCTTTTTTTAATATGTATTTATATTTTATTGCACTTTAGATTCTGGGGTACATATGAAGAACATGCAGGATTGTTGCATATGTACATACATGGCAGTGTGGTTTGCTGCCTTCATCCCCATCACCTGTATCTGGCATTTCTCTCCATGTTAACCCTCCCCAACTACCCACCTGCTGCTGTCCCTCCCCTAGTCCCCCTGCAACAGACCTCAGTTTGCCATGCTCTCCTCCCTGTGTCCATGTGTTCTCATTGTTCAACACCCGTCTATGAGTGAGAACATGTGGTGTTTGATATTCTGTTCTTTTGTCAGTTTGCTGAGAATGATGGTTTCCATGTTCATCCATGTCCCTTCAAAGGACACGAACTCATCATTTTTGATGGCTGCATAGTATTCCATGGTATATATGTGCCACATTTTCCCTGTCCAGTCTATCATTGATTGGCATTTTGATTGGTTCCAGGTCTTTGCTATTGTAAACAGTGCTGCAATGAACATACATGTGCATGTATGTCTTTATAATAGAATGATTTTATAATCCTTTGGATATATACCCAGTAATGGGATTGCTGGTCAAATAGAATTTCTATTTCTAGGTCCTTGAGGAATCACCACGCTGTTTTCCACAATGGTTGAACTAATTTACAATCCCACCAACAGTGTAAAAGTGTTCCTGTTTCTCCACATCCTCTCCAGCATCTGTTGTCTCCAGATTTTTTAATGATTGTCATTCTAACTAGCATGAGATGGTATCTCAATGTAGTTTTGATTTGCATTTCTCTAATGAGCAGTGGTGATGAGCATTTTTTCATATGTTTGTTGGCCTCATATATGTCTTCTTTGGAAAAGTGTCTGTTCATGCCCTTCACCCACTTTGGAATGGGTTTGTTTTATTTTTTTCTAGTAAATCTGTTTTAGTTCTTCATATATTCTGAATATAAGTCCTTGGTCAGATGGGTAGATTGCAAAATTTTTTCCCATTCTGTTGGTTGCTGGTTCACTCTAATGATTGTTTCTTTTGCTGTGCAGAACTCTGGAGTTTAATCAGATCCCATTTGTCTATGTTGGCTTTTGTTGCCAATGCTTTTGGTGTTTTAGTTATGAAATCCTTGCCTATGCCTATGTCCTGAATGGTTTTGCCTATGTTTTTTTCTAGGGTTTTGATGATGTTAGGTCTTATGTTTAAGTCTTTAATTCATCTGGAGTTAATTTTAGTGTAAGGTTTCAGAAAGGGGTCCAGTTTCTGCTTTCTGCACATGGCTAGGCAGTTTTGCCAACACCATTTCCACATTACTTGTTTTTTTCATGTTTGTCAACGATCAGATGGTTGTAGATGTGTGATGTTGACTCCAAAGTTTCTGTTCTACTCCATTGGTCTATATCTCTGTTTTGGTACCAGGGTCATAGGTAGCTTGGTGGGGCTAGCATTGAATCTATAAATTACTTCGGGCAATTTACTTCCAATTATGTGGTCAATTTGCGAGTAGATGTGATGTGGCACTAAGAAAAATGTATATTCTGTGGATTTGGGGTGGAGAGTTCTGTAAATGTCTATTAGGTTTGCTTGGTCCAGGTGAGT